GCCTTTTTCATCCCTACACCGTAAACCACCAAACCCCTGAACCCCCGTAAGCCTAAGCCTAGGCCCAAAACCCTAAACTGTGAATCTGCTAAACCCCTAAACACCTAAGCCCTAAAACGAAACCTGAACCCCAAAACCCAAATACCATTAAAGTCCCCAAAGCCCCCAAAACCCTAAAGCCCTAAACCGCTCAAGCCAACCCCGAAACCGCAAAGCCCAAGCGTCTCAGTGATGCCTTGGGCTGTGGTCTGGACCTCTGCACCGGTGGCACGGCGAGTTCGCTCCAGGTCTTCGACCTGTAGGCGGGGTGTAAGGGGTCCATTTAATAATTGAGGGGATCTATAGTCTCTTCAAAGGGATCTACAGGGGTCTTTAAGGGCTTCTTTACGGGAAGCTGTGGAAGAGAAGGTGTTGGCTGTGCTTTGCTTGGGATTTGGGGTTTAGGGTTTAGGGCGTATTACTTTGGGTTCAGGGTTTAGGGTTAGTATGTTTCTGTCTCTGTCTCTGTCTCTCTCTCTCTCTCTCTCTCTCCCTCTCTCTGTGTGAGCGTGTCTGGGTTTGAGTTTTTGTCGGGGAGGTTGGGGTTGAGGCTTTAGGTTTGGGTCTTGGGGTTTAGGGTATGAGGCTTGGAGTTTGGGGCTCTGTGCAAGGATTAAGGTCGCGTAGGGGCTTGCTTATAGAGTCAAGGCTCTAGCTATAAGACTGAATCATCTTGTTGTCGATTCGTTTGCACACTCGTGCTGCTGCCACGCTTCTAGTACTACTTCCCTTGGCACTGATGATGCCTCGATGACGAGGATGACGGCTCTGATCTCCTTTTACATATGTCAAGTCAGGAACCCCGGCCTGGCTGCAAAGGTTTAGGGTTAAGGGGTTTCTGCATAGGGTTTACTACCTAGGGTTTAATAGGCTTCAGAGTTTACGACATAGGCTCTGTAGAAGCTCCTGAGGTGGTTGCGGCCTTCGGGTGTCGGATCTATGATATCCTTCGGGGCAGGCCTAGGGTTTTAAGCTCGAAGTGTGGACGGAGGCCTCTACCCGCCCGGCGCAGAAGATGTTGCGGTCTGCAAAGTACCTCAGCGTGCTGGCATTTGCCTTGAGGGCTTAGGGCTTGGAGACATACGAAATCTGGAGGGGAGGCTGAATAATTAGACTCGGGTTGCAGGGGAGGGAGGTATATTGTTGTACGTAGTATATCCAATGCAAGGACTACCAGGATACCCTTGTAGTGAATATTCAGACTTGTTACCTGCTCTGGGAAATTTGATGGTTTAGATTTTTGGTGCAGGGGTTCAGGCTTTCCAAGAATTTGGTGGAGTTATGTAAGCGGCTCGGTTTGGGTGTGTGGGCTACTTGCAAACCTCAAGTCCCACTTAGATACGTACTCCCTTGTCTGTGTCGACGAGGTCTCGGACATGCAAAACAAACGGACCCGCAAAATGATTCCAGCAGGAATCCCCAGTTTGGCGACACCCCCATGTCTCGACCCCAGGCAGCACACCGCACGTGGCAGCATTGCAGGATTCATTCAAGAACCCAGCACACACCATAACAATCAAACGCAGGGTCCCCAATAATTTGTTTGGGGTTTTGGGCTAACTCTTCAGGCTTCCATAGTATCCCACTTCTGACGCCCACCCAATGCCCTGACACGCCATCCCACGAAGCTGAAGCATTGCAGAGCAACGGACCCGAATCCATCCCCACACCTTATTCAAAGCACCCTAAACCCTAAACCCAAGGCCCTGAACCCTGCAAGCCCAAAAGCCCTGATCCCTAAACCCCAAAGTCTGCGCTGTAAACCCGAGCCTGGAATATACCGTGAACATCCGTGAACCAGAAAGATATCTAACCTTACCTGAGCCCCACAGACCCTACCTTTTGAGGACTATCGTAATAAGGAGCCAAAAACAAAGGCAGGTTGCTTAGGGTCCAGGTCATACGGTAAACCCAACACTGAAAGCTGCATCTAATACCCTCGAGGCCCTAAACGTTGTAAACCCCAAAACCCAGCTGAAAAACCTCAAGCTCTGCACCCCTAGTACCCTCAACCCTGAACCGAACCCTAATCCCTAAACCCTGAACCCTAAACCCTAAAACCCTAAACCCTAAACCCGAAACCCGAAACCCTCAACCCTGAACCCTAAACCCAAATCGTACCCTTGAAGACCGGGTGGCTGCGTTGCGAGATCCCCGATGGCCAGTCCTAAGTTCTCCAGTAGCCCCGCTTTTTACTACAAGTCTCTATTTGGCTATTATAACCCGGCCTAAACCCCAAACCCAGAAAGAGGGCAAAAGCGTACTACTCAGAAACCCAAGAGTCGGCTGAGAACGACATTTGCGCCCGACTTGGCGATCAGGTCCAGCTTTTCCTTGGTCTGAACGCCGCCAGAACCCTTGAGGCCTAGAATGCCCGAAAAGATGAGAGAATGCAACGTACTATAATCTACGAACATACTATATAGTAGAGCATTTTGTGGAAAGATACTACACATGCAGGGCCTTAGGGTTGGGGTTTAGGGATTCAGGTTTAGGGTAGCAGTTTGGGGAAAGATACAAAACATGCAGGGTTCTTATCTTCCCCCCCAATGTGTTTACTGTCCAGCTTCTCCCGGATCGGGTTTTGCAAGGGTTAGTAGGGCTCAGGGTTTAGACTCGATGAAGGTCTGGGCTTAAGGTATAGGGTCTGGGGCCCAGAGTCTGGGGGTTTGAGGTTCAGGGGCTTTAACTTCTAGAGTGTGCACTGATAGTGTTGGCGTATTGGGGACTGTAGAATTAACATAGGGCTTTGGCGAGCGTATAATTATACCGAGGCCCTTCATGAATTGAGTAGGGTTTTCGCGATATTATGGTATATCCAAATATCGGAAGCTTTAACGAAGACTGCTGAAGTATGTATGTATTCAGAGCCATAGTTGCTCCATCCGGTCGTCCAGGGTTTCATGCGGCCGTTTCATGAATTCCTGGAGTCGGATCGGACCCAAAGGAGGCAATCCTCATTTTCCGAACCCCTTGTTCCCATGAAAACTCAGTTAAAGTAGGTTGTTGTCTACTTACAGTAGCGATGTGTATACATATCTATCTGTATACAGATACGTGTACAAACTCCACTTATTATACTAATTTGGCTAGCCTGATGACTTGTCGTGTGTTTAAACTCGGAGACGGCCAATTTTGGGCCTTCATAATCAGAATAGGGGTTTGGGTATATTATATACTATCACTCATGAGGAACCCCCCCAAAATCATTCAGGCCCCTACAATAGAAACAGCAACCTCTAAGGGCAAAAGTTGTGGCTGTGTCAAGCCTAGTTCGTGGCCTGGAAGTGGTGGGAAGCTCGCAATTCCAGAGCTCCCTAAACCCTAAACCCCTAAACCCGAAACCCTAAACCGCTCCTGGGCACCAAGTTAGAAGCTCGCGTTCTGTGCCGGGCACCGAATTCCCTGCTTTAGGACTCTGGGACCTGAGCCCTAAATCTCGAAACTCCAGGCCACAAGCCGCAATTTCTAAACCGTCGCAGAGACACGTAGATGATGTTCCATTCGGCATCCACGATGGATTGGTACCTGGGCCAAGAACACCACCTGCAAACCCAAAAGCCTGAAGCCCCCTGACCCCCCTGAAGAAGACTTTGTGGAACCAATCACTAGACCCCTAAACCCTAAACCGTGAACCGTCAAGGGGCTGATCTGGGTCACTGATCCTGACCTCGGCGTTGTCCTTTGGGGAGGTTTCAAGAGCCCCGGGGAGTGCCCGGAGCTGAAGGAGAAATGGCTGATGTAGGGGCCTGCCTAGTTGCAACAGTAATGGTTAAAGTTGTAGGATATAAGGGGTTGATATTGGGGCCCCCAATACGTAGAATCTCCTAGAGCCGTGTTCAGAAGGGTTCTTGCACAATTTTTCAGGTTTTATAGGGTTCAATACAGAGGCCGCCAGATTTCAAACTCTGCCCTTCTTCCCTGAGCAACATCTTAGAGGGTTGCAACAAGATGTTACCTCCTCCGACCATTCTCTGCTTGGGGAGGGGGAGGGTGAGGGGGTAGCGGAAATTACATGAAAACTGCACACACCCAACCATGACATCCAAAAGCCAGACCTGCTAAACCCTCAATTCTCAACTCATTACACGAAACCCTGTAGACCTCAACTCTAAACCCTCTGACCCCGTGTTTGGCCACTCTAACCAATCAACTGAAAAACCCTGAATCCTGACAACAACTCACAAAGTCCTCAAACAACAGAGCAAGTTGACGCTAAAACCCAAAATCGTCTAGCCCAAAACCATCAAAACCACCCTGAATCCCTCCAGGCGTATGCTGCCAGAAAGTGAGGAGGTCCTTTTCGGCCTTCAGCTCCAATTCAAGATTCCTGAGATCAGGGTAACGGCTTAGGGCTTAGGGCTTAGCCCCTTGTGTGTCGGGCTGTATCGGGGTTTAAGATTCAGGGCTGAGGCTGTAGAGTGCACAACGTTTAGGGGTTCGCAAAGCCGCTCGGAGCATGTGGGGCTGTGGACCGACGTGCTGGTCGTCGTCGTCGTCGTCGTACGAGTAGTAACAGTGGTGGTAGTATTAGTCGTCGTAGTCGTGGTCGTGGTCGCGGTCGTGGTCGTAGTCGTAGTCGTCGTAGTAGTAGTCGTCGTCGTACAGGTAGTAGCCATGGGCCGAAGCAGGAGCAGAAGCACCAGTAGTAGTCGTCGTCGTAATCGAAGTAGCATGATAGGAGCACCAGCAGAAGCGGACTCGGACTGAGTATAAGGCAAACAGTAGCAGGCAGTGGTTTTTCATGCTCACAATCGGAATACCACCTAACAGAAGGGTCATGTCAAGGTTAGTGACGAAGATACTGGCAAGCATGCTTCTGATACCATCCAACTACGGAACGCTTCGCAACGATTTCAGCAACCATGGAAACCTTCGTGCAAGACAAGCTGCTTCAAGCAGCTTGATGGCTCTGGTTATAAGAACACAAGATTCTGAAGCCATTGGCATGTCTAAATGCTCTACTGATAGCAGGCGGGGAAGTCGCCCAAACATGCAGATTCTTGGCGACCGAGGGGCAGGAGCAGAATCTTGGCATTCTCGAAGCGCTTGGGCTGCTGTTCCTAGGCTTGCGCTTGGCGTAGTCAAGGTTCAGGCTTTCCTGATCTGATTCGGGATTCGAGTTAGGGTGTGCCTGCGCTCCAACGGCAAGTGAGGATTGTGAACTCGAAACCCTTTCACCACTTCGCAGAAACTTGGCTGTCATCTGAAGCAGGTACCCCGCTGTGAGACATGCCTAAACCGACCTAAGTTGTAACATTGCAGCTCAGTCATCAAGTAAAAGCCACACACCTCGATAGCGCGAGCATCCAGTGCAGCAAAGCTTCGAATCCAGCATAGGAGAAGCACTTCTTGAAGCAGACACCGGGCACCAGCAGCGTGTCGGTCACTGAACCTCCCGTCACCTCGGGCGCAGGTTTTCATCTCAGGCCACTACCAGGCTTTAACTGGCCTTGCGGGGTTCTTAAACCTCGAACTCCTCAACTTAACCACAAGGGTGTTCTCCCTTTAAGGGCCTTCTTGATGCCGACGGATGAAACGGACATGTCATCACCAAGAAGGGAGATGGCGTCCACGGACATCTCAGCAAAAAAGGTCTTGTAATCTGCCACCAGCCTGAGCGGGTTTAGGGCTCGTGGGGAAATCCCAAAAGCACAAAACTAGAGCTCTGAACCACTGAACCGCCGAACCAAAAACGACAGAAACCGCCGCAGAACCCTATGGCTCTGAAAACCCTGAAGCCCAGAACAAAGAACGAGGATTATGGCCGGCGTTCTTCTAGCTTAAAGGCTCTCTGCGATATAGCTGAGTCGGCACTCCTTCTGTCTCGCATGGGCTTGCTCCGGTGAGGATGGTTGCTTCGTGTAGTTCCCTTTTCTTGGTTTCTTTCAATAAGTTTCAGAACAACAGCACATTCCTGGTTTCGGGTTTCAAGATTCGGGGGGCGACGCAGATTTTGGGAGGCCGAATGACAAGCGAGTCATGCTCGTGGCGATGCTGATGCCTAATTAGAAACCCTCCTAGACCCCTTTAAGGACCCCTCAATGGAACCCTTGCCCCTGAATGGGACCAGGTGTTGTTTTGATGATGGTGGATTCGGCAGCGGAGCGAGGGCGAGGCGATAATCACGGTACTGATGGTCACGCTGGCGATGACTAGCTGATCGCATTTACTCTGAACCTTGAAATTCAAGCAAGAGGCTTTGAATTCAGTGTGGTCTCTGCACACTTGACCAGCATAGACCGCTTCTCCTGCATTGGAGCATGGGCCAAAGCTACAAGCCGCAAGGTCCGAAGCGTGGCTGTGCTTTCCGAGTATCCTTTAAATCGCAACGTGCAGCGGGCAGAAGCATGTGAAATATTGCCCGGGGTGTAAGACTAGCTTGGCTTGAAGCTCGCAGCAGCTGTTTCCAGTGCGAAATGCATGACTGCTCTCGCACCCTGTGCCCAGCTCTTGATTAACGAGGATCCGCAGTGTTCCCACCCATCATCTTCATCGCTTCCACCTTGGTTCCTCTTTGCGGGACAAGGCTTTGGGGCTCACTGACCGAGCCCTGCCCAAAGCCCAGACCCACCTCAGGTGACTTGTCTTTGAGGTCCACAGCCATGTCGAGGAGCTTGGAGACGGCAAGATTACAGGCCATTCGGTAGCCCTGATCGGCACAGGAGTTTAGGGGCGTAGGGTTTAAGGGGTTACGGGTTTACAGGTTTACGAGTTTAGGGGTCACTGGTTTGGGGTTTCGGGTGTGGTTCGGGTTTAAGGGTTGGGGCATAGTTTTTTCGGGTCTAGGCGAGTCTAGGCTTGATAGGGCGGCGTAGGCTTCTCGGGAGGTTTGGTTTCTTCTGGGTGGATGGTCGCAGTTTGCACACTGATCCGGTTCCAAGGTAAACGGTTCTAGTTTGGTCGGGACTGTGTTACAATAAACCCTGAACCCTTTTGAAGCTTCAGATATGAAGCGGTTGGAATCTGGGGCCTAGACTGGCGGCGAAGGGAAGCCATGCAACCGGAAGCCTAAACCCGAATCCCAACAGGCACGTGACAACCGAGCACTATGACCTCTGAATGCGCAATCTTGCTAACTTTACTAAACCGCAAGCCCAAGAACACAAGTCCCCCGGGACTCCGCAAGCCCTCTAAGCCCCAAAGTTCAAAGCAGAGCTAAAGATCATGATATATCATATGTACCATAAGCCCGATACGCACAATCTAACTCAGCCTACGAGCCTTACAAAGGTCTGGGCAACAAAGATCCCAAAATCTCATACAAACCCTAGACCCCGAAACTCAAGTTTTCGACCCGGCAAAAGACCCTAGACCTAGAGATGACCAGCCTGCTGCCCAGAGTTCACACACGGGTTTACGGTTTCAGATTTAGCGTTTAGAGTCTAAGGCTTGGGATTTATAAGCCTTATACGGATACAGGGTTTCGGGCAAAGGTTTAGGATGCAACGTAGGCTCAATTGCTTGAGGATTTACCTGCAATGCTAGCCTGAGCCCTAACACCTACCTTTCGAAAGAACTGACTCCATCTTGGAAGACCCAGATTTACGGCTTTTTGGTAAACATGTGCCTTGATGATCTGCGGGGCGACTAAGCCGTCCTCGACGGCTTGGTGCATAGAAGAAATCCGAGGATCTTATGCTTCCATCTGCTTTCATCTGGGTTCGTAGTTCGGATGTTAACAAGGATCTTAGGTCAGATGGGGCTTTGGACTCATGTGTTTTCACGGCGTTGGATGTTGGGGGCCATGGAGACTTCAGATTGTAGGATGCATTGGGCAGGTTCGGTGAGAGTAAGTTGAAGTTTGGCGAAGACATGACGGTCTGACACACTGGAGGATCTCATCCACCCAATCGACAGCCCACTCAATTTCACTGCAATTCACTCATGACATGTAATTGTGCGCGCGGGCGAGCGCGGGTGTGTGTGTGTGTGTATGCATGCATGCATGTGTGTATGTATGTATGCGCGTGTCTGTGTCTGTGTGTGTGGGCGCGCGTGTGCGCCTGTGCTTGTGCCTGTGTCTCTGTCTTGGTTTGTGCGTCTGTGTGTGTGTGTGTGTGAGACGGCGTCCTCGAGGAAGTGTTTTGCTTCCTTCAGCAGCTCACCTGTGCACAAAGCAAGAGATGGCATTCCGACGCCCATAAGAACTTGGTTGTCATAATCCATGATCATACGACAATTGCCACGCGAGTCTTACAAGAATTCCGAGCAGTAATCATCCTAAATCCATGAACTTTCTGGGTTCACTATACCTGAGCTAGAAAAGCAGATCGATGTGGGCTATTGTTCCAGCTCTTCTTCTCCACAATCCATTCTGCTGCTGGGGTGACATTGATGATCAGCGCTAATCAACTTGGTAAAGTTGTTATTGTTGTTGGCGGTGGTGGTGATGGCGGCGGGGGCAGTGGTGGTAGATCCATGTGCCACAGCTTGCCCTGTCATCTTTCAGCTGGTGATTATTGGGGCCTTACGCAGTACAATAGGGTTTAACGAGCTTACATGACATTAAACTTACGTTGAGGACCAAAAGGGGCTATTATTTCAAGTCAGCCCCATCTTACTTCAAACACAAGGTCCGAAATCCGTGCCTGCCAAAACGACAACGCTGGTGGTGCCGTCACCGACCTCGTTGTCTTGGGCCTCTCGGGCACGAATTTCAGGATTGAGCCCTTGGGTTCTGGAGCCTGGTTTAGGGTTTAGGGTCAGGGTACCTTCAGCATCTCATGTTTCGGAATTGTTAGGGTATGTGCTGGAGTACACCAGCAGGCTGAGAAGTGGAGAGAAGTGGAGTCGCGAGTTCCCTTATCTCATGCTCCCCAAACCATGGCATGGCGCACTCTAAAGGCGGAGTTTTTTTTTACAAGCA